AAACAGTATAGATGTGTGATATTATGATTGGACCCATCTTAGTTGTCCATTTAAATCGAGCGGCTTGATAGGGGGAAGTATATAACTTGTATAGAAAGCTTTACCGAAATTGAAGGACGTCAAGAGATATAATTTAGTATCCCAAACTCAACTCATTTTCTTTAAGGCGCTGTTTGGTTCCCTAAAAATGGATATTCTGGGGAGATGCATCTTTTGGGATTGGTATCTCCTGGAATTCGCATCTCTTAGAATATAGGTAGCATCTAGTAGGAGACTTGGAAGATGCATGTCCACTGTTTGGATTGTCAGGAAGATGTATCTCCTTGAAATTATACAATATATTATTAATATAATGATATTATATAATTAATTATTTTATATAACATAATATATTATAATATTATGTATCTTTTATAATATAAAATTACTTATATATGTAACGATAATCACAATATATAATTGCCATATCTACATATGATATAATCATAATTAATTATAGTGTTATAATATTATACAATAATATAAAATTGTATTATAATATTCTATTATATATTTTATAATATTATATATTGATTATATATTACAATATTATATATCTATTATAAGATACAAATTACTTATACGTAACATATAATTAATTATGATTATTATATATTATTACTATAATTATATATTATCATATATAACTAGTACATTCATTAATGTTAATTATATATTAATATATATTTGAAATATTATAATATAATAGCATATAGTATGATAATATCATGCTATAATATAAAATTATATTATAATATTTAATTTCTTCCTGCATCTAAACCCTTAAATTTGATATTTCATTTCGTATATAAATTGAATACTAAATAAAGGGAAAATAAAATTGAAAATCAATAGAAAATAAAAATATGATATTTATGCAATATGAGCTTCGGGATTGAGATAAATGAGAGCAGACCACACTGGATGAAGGTGTGCTCATTACCCATTGTTGTTCTTCCACATTGATCAGAAGAGCCATTGCTGTGCTTTGCCTCGTTACTTCATGTTTGAACCTTTAGATATTCAAACTTAGACTTGAAACCAGCGAACAACTGAAACTTATGACTAGCATTTCAAGCATAAGCCGCTTTTGCATATCCGCAGGAAGACTCACACGAGCAGGCAGGAACTGGTTGATAGAATAAGGTTATTATAATAAATTAATTATTATATTATATATATTATTTATGTATTTATTATAGAGTAATGATCTTATGATACCTTCCCACATTCATGTGCGTAAGACCTCAAAGGAACGCCATTAAATTTGGTACAAAACTCTAAAAAAGTCAATCCCACGTCCACGTGACAGTTTTTCTAGTTGTGTACCAAATTTAATAGCGATCCTTTATGATCCTATACACATGGCTGTGGAAGGGTCTCATAGGATCATTACTCTTTATAATATTATACGTATATTATAATATACAAGTTATTTAGATATATTAATACATAGTTAATTATAATTGTAATATGTATAATTATTATAATTGTATAATTATTGCAAATAATTAATATGTTAAGCATATATTTTATAATATATATTTTTACAACTTTAGAGTTTGGGGTTTTTTTTGGGCAAACCTACTCTCTAAGATTATCGCAAGTTTTTGGGGCTATGGCTTTCTTTTGATCTCCCGGATATGTTAATTCCACCTATTTTAATGGAATTGACATTTCTACAAAAAAAAAAAAAAAAAAAGAAATTAAAAAGTGGAAATCGATCTCGACAACCAAGTGGGTCTCCCACACTAAGAGGATATCCAAAGATTTTAAACAGCATTTAGGGGCCTTTTTCCATAGGATGGATCTCCCAAAGATCCATTTCCAAGGAACCAGGTGGGTCCGAATAGAGATATAAAAAACAATAACAAACAAGAATTCAAAACTCACTTTGTGGTCTCATTGTTTAAGTTTGGATATAAATATTGCTATATTTCCTTAGAATATTTTTCTGCTTTGGAAAAAGTTTATATATAGTTGATCCTCTAAACAATCAAATTAGAGCTCACTTCAAAAATTTCATTAGAAGAGGTTTTGATGTCTAAATATTCTCGAATTGATCATCTCAACATCTAGATACATGGACATGAGAAAAAAAAGTGGATTTCAAGTTTTGAAAATAGTGCATCTTGTAATACATTTTTAGACCATCAATTTTCAAGATTTTCAAGTTTTCATAGATCTATTCGATCTACACTATTTTTTAAGCTTTAAATTTTATAATTAGATATAAAAATATATTTAAAGGCTATCACAAAGATTTCCAATATTAAAACTACATTTCTGGACATTATTTGAAGGTGCTCTCTACTTTGAATGTTTAGAGCCTCGACTCTACACAAACCTCGCCCTTCTTTTCCTCATTCCTTAATCTAGTTTGTAGATATCTTATTAAGGATGCAGTTTGTATAGAGCCGAGGCCATAAACAATCAAAATAATGAGCACTTTCAAATAGTATCCTAAAATGTGGTTTCAATACTGAAAATCTTTGCGATAGCTTTAAAATATATTTTAATCTTTAATTATAAATTTTAAAGCTTAAAAAATAGTATAGATCGAGCATTTCTATGAAAACATAAAATCTTGAAAATTACCGGTGCAAAAATGCATTACAAGATTCGCTCTTTCCAAAACTTTAAATCCTTTTTTTTCTCATGTCCATGTATCTTGATGTCGAGATGATTAATTTGAGGATATTTGAGCGTCCGAACACCCCTTTTATAGTGAAATTTTTGAGGTGTGCTCTAATTTGATTGTTTAGAGCCCCGGATATATATAATTTTTTCCTTTTTATTGATTCTTGAACTCTTTTTACTTCTTTAATTTTCTTTATATTTCTTGGAATCTCTCTCTCTCATAAGGAAAAAATTTATATAAATTGTCTTGTTTGCTGGAACAATCCCTTTTTCTTCCCCTTAGGATCAAGGGCTCTCTTGACTCTCGAACGAGAAAGCCCTTTAGGGCCGTAGGGGCAATAGCGCTTCTTCTTTGGATCCCTATAACTGGGCATGGACTATTGGAGTGAGCCAATCCTTTCCTTGGTATCCGAGGTAGGCTCCATCAAGAGCTTCCTCGCTCGTTGCGCCAGCTTTTTGTGCTTTTTAATAAATTTATCTTTTGTAATCCTGTTTCCTTTCGACTTTATATTGTAAAAGTAAGAGACACCTCTTGAAAAAGTTGTTCAATGGCCCAAAAAACCATACAATTGATCATCTTAGCCTTAAGATGCGTAGTTATAAAAGAAAACATATTTTTTGAGCCCTTAATATACTACATATTGTGTCACATTATCTACATAGTTCATTTTTAAGACTTCTAAGTGCGTACAAGATGTACATGATCTACGTCAATTTTAGACTTTTGAATTTTATAATTAAGGATGAAAATAAGTTTTTTTATTTTTATTAGCTATCAAAAAGGTTTTTGACACCAAACAAATAAGGAAAAAGTTCAAGTTGCAACCTTATACTGTAAAAGTAAGGTGCACCTCAAAATTTCAATAGAAACGACTATTCCAAAGTTAGAAAGCTTTCCTTTCAATTATCTGGACCTTGAGATGTATAGTATAAAGACAAAAAAAATTTCAAATATTAAAAATAAATCATCTTGTAACAAGTTCACTTTTTATTTTCAAGATTTTGAAGTGTTTACCAATCTAGTCAACTTTTTTTCTTTTTTCTCTAGATAAAAAGTCACTATAAGATTTTCGACAACGTAACTGCAAGTTCCAATAAAATTTAGAGGTGTGCCTTAGTATAAGGTGGACACCTTATACAAACCTCACTCGGCAATGTAGTGTGTGGTTCTTCCCCCTGTGTGAGTAAGTGCATAGTATGCTAGTGCAAGAGCATGGCATAAAGTGCAAACATGGGCAGAAAAAAAAAGACGTGATGGAGCGCTTGAATAGAAGTTGGATCCCAACTTGCAGAGCCAAGGAGGGAAAAATAATAAGAGAGAGAGAATCTAGAGAGAGAAAATTGTGGCAATGGCAGAAGTGGTGGTGAAGTACGGAATAGTGGGAGTTGGAATGATGGGAAGAGAGCACATGCTCAACATAGCCCACCTCCAAGGGGCAGCAACAGTCTCTTGTGTTGCTGACCCCCACTTACCCTCTCAACAATCTGCCCTAAATTTGGCAGCCAAATTTGGCTGGTCTCTCAAGGTGGACCCTCTCTAAGCTCAACTCTAACTTTAACTAATCTCACATTTGATTATGGAATTTTGATTGGGTTTTTTTGAAATTTGAAAAACAGTGGAGAAACCCCTAACTTTTATGGGAAATTGAGGAATACTAGGAGATACTCTGTCAATCAAACCCCAAACAAACATCTGAGGTAATATTGTATTTTTCAAATGAACTGAGAAATGATCAGATGCTATGCCAAACTAGTGGAGATCTGGTTTAACTTCAATTAATTGCTAGCTATAATTGAGATAAAGAAGTAGAACACAACAACAAAACTTCAAATTTTTTTGTTATTATGGTTTTTTACTTTTATAGGTCTGGTTGAGACTCTCATTCACAACCAAGCTCTATCTCTGTGAATTTATCCTGATTCACTTTGATTCTGCCTAAAAAAAGCTCACCCCACTTAAAGATACAATGGAAATAGAACTCCTTCTTTTCAGCAATTTGGTTTGACTCAGGTTGAATTCAAGACCCTCCCTTAAACCCTGACTCCTACCATCTCCAACCCCCACATAACATTCTCGTCAGTTGCTTCATAGATAATATGTATTTTATTCAATCACATTTGAAACCAATTGATACACAAGTTTCGCTCATTCAACAGTCCCCCACAATGCAAACTCAGTGATTTCCCTAACAAAGTGATCATCATCAGTGTCTCTTTCAGAATTTTCAGTGTCCCAAAACTCGGCTGAGTAACTTGGCCTCGCTACCTTGGTGAGGGAGTTCTGGTGACAAGCTCAGGTTTATTGAAAAGGTCTTAAAGATTTCTATTTTTATTTTTTCCTAAATCACTAATAAATGATGCACAAATGTGTTTCTAAACAATTCTTATTTTTTATAATGATTTGTGAATTTTCCATATTATATGGTCTTCTTTTCTATCTTTCCTTTTTTGGATTTTTCTCAGTTGCTATTTTGAGCCACTTTTCGGGCTCATACATCAGCTAGGGCAGGGGAAGACTCCCGAGCCCTAACCGAGTAATTGAGAAATGATAATTTCTCATGCCAAGAATTCCTTCTATCCCTCAAATGTGTGCTATATCCATGACTTCAACTTTGTTCTCACTAAATGGTACTATCCATTCAATATAAGTGAACATTACACAAAATATTGACAAATCTAAGCGTATTTGGTTTGTCCGTAGTCCTCTATGTTCTTCAAGGCCATTTCCATAAAAGCCTCATGCCATTCTTACATGGCCATTCAGGACCCCATCAGACCTCTAAACATGAGCTTAGAAACACATCCAAGTTACCACAAACTTTTAACACTGTATTTTGTGCTAACCTGTGATCCATTGCACCTATATGTTTCAGTGTTTTAACAATCAGCCAAGTTACTCAGCCTCGGCATGGTGCCGAGGCGAGTTCAGGTGCATAGCTTTGGTCTGAATGCACATGTACAGTACTCGGGCAAGTACTTTACTGGTCGCGTACGTAAATGAAAAAATTACTCTTCTTCCAAGAAAATGAAAGAATTACTTTTATTATTCAAACTTCTCTCTAAGGAGCCATTGCTTACCAAATGCCCTCCTCATTTGTGGACAGGCTCGGAGCCCATTCCTTGGAAAGCCAAACATAAATTTTTCAATATTCCGACATGCTGTACGTCTGATAAATGCTTTTAATTTTTGGTAGGTATTCAATGGACACCAAGAGCTATTGGAGAGTGGACTATGTGATGCGGTAATAGTATCAGCCCCAAACATGACCCATTTCCATATACTCATGGATATCATCAATCACCCAAGGCTCCATCATATACTTGTGGAGAAGCCTTTATGCACCACAGTTAAGGACTGCAAAAAGGTATTCACTTTATATGCATTTTGTTTTCGACAATGTTTTGTTGTAATTTGTGTAGTCTGTGTTCATGGGTTTCTATAATCCCTTTATTTCCTAGTTAGGTCAATTGTATGTTAAAACCTCTTGTTTTTTGTTATGCTTGGTTATCAAAGTGTATTAAAGTCGAAGAAGTTATGAATCTACCATATATATTTGCAAAGGATCCATCTATATAATGCCAGTCTATTAACATTTTCGATTGTCCCATGGTACACAGCAGAAATAGCTCTAGCATCCCAGTAAGTATAGTCTCAATGGTAGTAGCAACCATATTTGCCTGCTGAATCTAAAATATAATATTGTTTTTACATGGGTTCTGTGGAACTGGCTGCTTTCTGATTGCTTTTTCCTTGTAAATTGTCCCACATTAATTATCCATTTGTTGTGGAGTAGCTACATGTAGCATTTGTAACCTTCTCCTTTCCTTTCCTAATATAGGAGGTTCCTACTGTAACTAGTTATTGTATGGAGTGGTGCCTAGCAAGACAATCTGCTATACGTGGCAATCGTAGTAGCAACAAAAGACATCGAACACATAATTCATCATGTGTAGAAATTGGGAAACATGGAAATTGCCTCCAATTTAAGTCATTAGTAAATACTTTATAAGATATTTGTTATTTGTTACTACTTATAACAGTTTGTTTCATTGGATAAGCACATACTTTTTTTTCCCTGTATCCTGCATATATGCTGCTTCCTTTCCTTTTCATTGTTTCCTCTTCATCTGTGTTCCCCTTTCTGTATAAATCTGAGACAGAAAACAAACTAGGGATTTATTCCATTACAAAGTTTTTTCTGAAAACTATAGGGTATAAATTGTCTTTCTATGTACATTAACAGTATTTCTAATTATGATTTTAAAATTTTTTTTCTAAATATGAACTCTTGATATACACAAAGGTGGAGCAGAACACTGCATAATATCCCATGCCTTACCTTTCCTCATAGGTAATAGATTCAGCTAGGAGGAGACCCGATATTGTGGTGCAAGTTGGACTGGAATACAGATACATGCCAGCCACTGCCAAGTTAATTGATGTAGTTAAGAGTGGAAAACTCGGAAGAGTGCACATGGTGGCTATTCGTGAGCATCGCTTCCCTTTTCTTGTCAAGGTAATAATGAATAAGGAAAGTATTATTTGTGAGCCTGACTACCCTCATCTTGTCAACGTACAATAAAATATCATAAAATCGATTGGGAAAATCATAGTCCATTAGGACGCCATCGCCATTCAATGAAACAATAAAGAGAGAGCGGGCACCAATCACTGGGGTCTGTTCTGAAGGTTCTTCTCTCTCTCCATCATCTTTCATCATTTTACTGGACGGTGATGACCTCAATGGGCTGCTTCTTTGTACATTACGTCAACTATTGATGTTCCAATGAAAAAATTTCAATCCTTATAGGTTAACAATTGGAATCGATTCAATAAGAATTCAGGGGGAACTTTGGTGGAGAAGTGCTGCCACTTTTTTGACTTAATGAGGCTTTTTGTAGCCTCAAATCCAGTTCGGGTGATGGCTTCAGGCTCCATTGATGTGAATCACAAGGATGAAGTTTATGATGGAAAGGTTTACCCCATTGTCTCATTTCCATAGCTGATTATGCAATACCATTTGCCAAACTATCAACCATATATGTACACACATATATTACATGTATAACTTCTGTTTCTTATATACTTGGACCTCTATATTTGATTTCCTACTGATGACTTTAGGTACCTGATATAATTGACAATGCATTTGTCATCATAGAATTTGAAAATGGCTCACGTGGCATGCTTGATCTCTGCATGTTTGCTGAAGGCAGCAAGAATGAACAAGAGATTTCAGTTGTGGGCCACATTGGAAAGGTAATCCTCAAAATTTTGCTTTGAGTTACATACCTGACAAGCTTTTTAATGCACTGAAAGCTCTAATATGTGCCCCACAGTTACACTTTAGCAATCGTGTACCCCATAAATATTGTGGTAATTGGGTACATATTGTATTTTTTTCCCTTTTTTTTTTAATGTCTACTTTGGGACCTAGTTGGAGTGGAACTCTAGATATCATGTTGTGACACCCGCCACCCTGAACACTGCCTTGAGCACAGTGCTCTTGGGATATTTCTCAGGTGGTAAACATTGTATTAGTGCACTGGTCATTTCTTTCGTTGTTTCTTGAGATTTTTCTACGACTGCCTCTTTATTTTTTTAATTTACATATGTGATTCTCAATACATTGGGATCATCTTTTCCTCCCAAACTCTCTCAAGCACCTGAAAATCCTGATAAATAAAACAATACATTTGCTCCACTAGTCTGTCAACAGGTTTTGGCAAAAGGCTCCTGATATAAAAAGAACACTCGAAGCAGTGGTTATTCCAACTTTTATGTTGAAGAAACAGAAATTTTGGGAAAATTCTATGGGAAATTGCATTATTCATTTTTTAGTACAAATTGTAGGGTACTCAAATGATAATTAAGCACTATTTCGAGATCAGATAAGGAAATGTCACAATATTTGCATTGTTATTGGTTTTAGTCAAGTAAAGAGGAATGTATGTGCCTAGTGTGGTGAAAACACTCAATTGCCCCTCTCGATATAATTACCATAGCGCTCATACCATTGTTATCAAAGCTAGACCAGACCGGCTGGTCGGACGGCCATCCAGACCACAAACCAGTTCAGTTCACTAAAACATCGATCTTGAAAACACATGTAATTTTATAATTTTTTTCAATATATTTAGGTTTTTGGCTGATTTTCATCAATCCGATGTGTTGGATGTTGGTTTAAACCCACTAAGTGACCCGGGCTGACACCTGTTCTCTTTGTTTTCTGTTCCTGTTTTGATCACATTTGCTCATAAATTAACCAAACTACCCTTGGCAGCCAAGATTGTAATGGTGCCTCTACACTGGCCGAACTGCCCCTCTCAACCAAAAGTACCCTAGTGCCCCTACACTAAACCAAACTGCCCGACAGAATTACCATAACGCCTCAAACCAAGATCAAGTATGAAACTGAATTTGCATTGTTTGTTTCTTATCTTCATTATTGCTCTTAACAGGGGGAGGCCTTTATGCCCGAAAATATCGTCCGTGTGGGTACTCGAGCAGCAGGGGGAGCGGGTGTTGAGACCATGAAATCAGAGGATCCTCGAATTAGGTGCATATGATGCTTTCACTTGTTTGATATGACCATGCCCTTAATTAAGAAAGTTAATTTATAATGAATATGTGCCTCTACTTGTAGAGAAAAAAATGAAAGAGAAAAATGAGCCTCCAAAAAGAAAATAAACCTATTGAATATGAGTGAGAGATGCAAACACGTATGCACTAGCACATTCATAAATGTGTAGCACTATAGCCACCCATGTCTTGATCGGTTGTTTACAGTGGCACATGTGCATGTGTGTGGGAACGTGCGCACACACGGCATGTGCATGTACGAATGCATGCATGTGGGAACGTGCGCACACACGGAGTACCCCATGTACCTGGCAGCCAATGACCAAGGCCAGTTCTACTCTCTCTCTCCACCTCAAATCATGTTGACACATCCATTTTGAAAATTTGGACCTTCCAAGTTAGTCTTGGGCTTGATCGGTTAAGGTGTTGACAATTGTAACCCTAAATCCCATGTTAAAGTCCTATCACTGAATTGGCCGCAGAAAAATAATTAACCGGACCATCCATCCAATGCAATGTCCACTTCGTAATGCACGATGATAGAAATGCTTCGATATATTTATGCAGGTATGATGGACTTCATCATGGGGCCAGTTATTTGGAGCACCTCAATTTCTTAGATGCCATCAAAGCCCAAGGACGTCATACTCCTGCTGTTGATTTGGAAGATGGGCTTTATTCTGTGGCCATGGGAGTTGCTGCACAACTCTCTATTGAAAAAGGCCACTTCGTGACCATTAAAGAAGTCATGGACTAACAAGCGTTGCAATTTGCTTCATATTATGACTGTTACATTATTGTTGCTGCTACTGCTGCCATTACTGCTATACTGCTACTTTTACCATTACTATGGTTGGTACTACTACAACCATTACTAAAACTAGCATTATTTTGAGAACCCCAAATCTTGGTGATGTAGCTTCCTCACCCTAGTGACCAACCTCAAAATAAAAAATAAAAAAAATTATATGTGCATAACACCAGTGTTATCAAATTCGTTTCGCTTTGGCCGAAAAAGCAAAAGCCCTTGGATTTTAGGCATAAACCAAAGAGAAGCGAAGCATGGTGCTGCCGCTTCAGTCAGATTCAGGCCGCTTTGGTTAGATTTGGGTATGCTTTGGGTCTGCTTCTGCCCGAAAAATATCTATATGAAAGTAATTATTTTTATTTTTTCCATTATTTGTATACATTATATCTCATTTACTTATACTAAATTAAAAAAAATAAATCCGAAGTCTTCTTTTGAATCGGTCGAAGCATTGAATTGTTTCATTTTTTTCACCAAACAGAAGACTCCGAAATGAATATGAGAACATTGCATAAAACAAATAGTCCCCTAAGATTGAAAGCAACCGACTAATATTTGGACCGTTGGGTCTAAGTGTTCAGGAACTCAACATTCAAAATTTTTATTTGAAAAACACTCATATGTTGATCCTAAAGCGGATCTCAAAATTTCAAATGGAAAAATTCCTCCAAAATTGATCATTTGTCTGTGGGAATAAGCATATAATGTGCTTCTGCTAGAGTACGCCATATGTGCTCTTATTAGGGAATTTCTATTTGCGCCTCTATTTTTGCTATTCTCCCCAAAATTACAATGGGGATATTAAAAACAGACTGGTTAGGATATGCCCCAAATTTTATGGGGCCGGACTAGAATATGGATGCAAATAGCCATCATTGTTATCATTGCTATGGTTGATGCTGTTAGTACCGTTTGAGATAGTTGAATGTGTCCCCATTTATATGCAGTTTAGAAAGTGTATACCATAGGAAATTGCAGGGATAAGTGAAAGCAATTAGGCATCTAGGGTTAGGGATTAAGTGGTTAGTTTTCCTAAGGCCATTAAAGAACCTCCATTATTTCCTCTCCCCTGAGTTTGCATAAACTGATTGTAATTATGGCATTAATAGTAAAAAAATTTGAATGTAGTATTAATAATATTTTACTCTTATGATTTTCTGCATGCTTATTTTTTTAAGTTTCACTACTTATTTAGCATTGTTTGAGTTAGCCATTGACATGCTATTTTTGGGTATCAAGTGTCTGGCACCTCAGGAAAGGGGTCGCGGTGTTAACATCCGCACACCCAATTACCACATCGTGGTATCCATTTTTACTGTTGATATCCCCAATTAACTCCCCAATCTATTTAAAAAACGGGGCTGACACCCCCAATTAACTCTCCAATTTACTGAAAAATCAGGTGAGAACCTGTCTTCCCCACTAAATTACCCAAAAAAGGTGTTTGGCACCTCATCATTTTGGCAATTAGTTGAGGTTCACTGGTTCTTGAATAAATATTGGGTTAGTTTTACGAATCCCTTGTATTTTTATGACTAAACGGGGTTGACACCCCCAATTAATTTCCCAATCTATTGAAAAAACGAGTAGGGGCATGTATTCCCTACTTAATTACCCAAAAAAAGTTTTTGGCACCTCATCGTTTTGGGAGTTAGTTGAGGTTCACTTGTTTTTGAATAAACATTGGGTCAGTTTCACAAATCCCTTGTATTTTTATTATTAATGCTGTTGTAATATCAACGGTCTTTGTTTTATTTTCCTTGTAATTTTTTAAATTTTAAATTTTAAATTTTTTAACCTTTTTATGAAAAGTTGTTGTTAAAGTTATATTGAAAAGTAGAAAAAAGCACAAAAAATATCGTTCTTAATAGAAAAAAATGACATACCAAAATTCGTGTAGCTGACTCCAATTAATTGAAAAGAAACAACAAAATGAGTTCTAAAAGAAGGCAAAGTTCATGGGTTCTCCTTTGTCCAACTTGCCGGTGTGTCAGAATTCATGCTCTGGCTAGATTGGTTAAGGTACAACCGTAACAACTGCAACAGTACATTCGAAGTTGGAATCCTGATAATGAATTAATTGGAGGCCAACTCTTGGCGAAATTTAATAACATCCCAAGCCATATCCGGCCATCTGCCATTGAATATAACAACGGAATAGGTTCATTCTCAACAGGTCTGAAGTTAATATTTGCAAAAAAAACCCAGAAAGAATGACAAAATTATGTGCATTTCTTTATGCAAGTAACGATGAAGTGATTGTCCACAATGGGATGGTTATCAGAATCAACCCAAGCCATTAGATTAGAAGAGGCATCTCATTTTGCATGAACCATAACGAATTTTTTTGCCTACGTTGGGTCGAGTTGATGGTACACCACCACTTGGCCGCCGCGGCCACCATCACCCCCACCACCATTGCCAACACTATAGCTCCACCACCAACAATAATTCCACTCAATACCACCTCTACCAGCAGCAGTAACAATGTTGTATTCATCACCTAATCACCACCACCACCACTGCTACGTAGATCGTATGAAGTTGGTGATTGACCCGGTTCTTTTAGAAAACCGGGAACTGGGACTCGCTTTGACTTGATGGGCATTGACTGATTTTGGTAAGATTCGGACGAGTATACCATGATCTAATTTAGAAAACATGGGTATTCCCATTTCATTTATTTATTTATTTTTGTTTTACATTTTCATCGTTGAATATTTATTTGTTTTGGCCAATCCAACGCTGGTTAAGGGTGGTAATGGGATGGACACGGGTTGGTCCAATCCTCAACTTCGATCTTAGAGGGCCAGCCAAGACTAGGCCATATGTGCCATATCGCCAACCTACTATTTGGGTAGGTATCCAGCCTAACTGGTTGGACCTGAACGAGTAGTTATTATCAAATTTTCTAAATTCATGATTTAATAGAAAAATGGTGAGGTTTGTGTAAGTGCCCACTTTAGACTGTACAAGTAAAGCATACTTCTCAATTTTTTTGGAAGATGTAGTTCTAAATTTTTTTAAAAAAGCCATGTTCAACTCTAACTATTAAATTTAAACTTTTAAAAAGATGTAGATCAAAAATATTTATAAACACTTGAAAATATATGGTCGAGATAACTTTTATAATATGCATTTTTTTTTTTTGGGAAAAAGTTTATATAGAGCGGAAGCTCTAAACAATCAAATTAGAGCGCATCTCAAAATTTCAGTAGAAGAGGTTGTTTTGATGCTCAAATATCCTCAAATTGATCATCTCAACAATGCATGGACAAGAGAAAAAAATGGATTTCAAGTTTTGGAAATAGTGTATCTTGTAATATATTTTTGGACCATCAATTTTCAAGATTTTAAAGTTTTCATAGATATTCTTGATCTACACTATTTTTTAAGCTTTAAATTTTATAATTAGATATGTAAATATATTTTATGGCTATCACAAAGATTTTTAATATTGAAACCACATTTTACCATGCTATTTGAAGGTGCGCTTTATTTTGATTGTTTAGAGCATAAGCTCTATAGAAATCGTACCCTTATTTTTAAGACTTTAATTTTTTATTTTTTTTTATATCCATTTATATGAGATGATCAATTGAAAAGTTTTCTAACTTGCGCGAGGATCCTTTGCCCATGCCCAACCTCCAGGCTTAAATTTCAGGCACGTGCCCGACCATAGCCAAATTAGAGTGCCCCAAGCACAACCAGTTTTTGAAAACAAAATAAAGCATCGCCTCAAATCCTCATCTCAAAAGCACTTTGGGTAATGGAAATCAATTTTAAACACTAACAATAAAATATAAATTTTTTAGAAAAGGCACAAATCTAAAGGATTTATGAACACTTATTATTAGGGTAAAATGGATAGTCCAAATAATTTGTTATAATATATACTATTTTTAGGGTTTGAAATCTTAATTGTTTTCACGATTACAATATTCAACCTTCAACTCATAACGCATTGAAAATTGCACTTCAAGCGTGGGAAAACTTTTATATCCATCGCGTTATGAGTCTCCCGTTTACTTATTTTGATAATGTTGTAGCCCTACTTAACCATTTTTCAAATTTAAAAATAAAATTTCTATAAGGCCTAAGGTCTATGAAAACAAAATAAAGCCTCACCTCAAATCTTCGTCAAATTTAAAAATAAAATTTCTATAAGGCCTAAGGTCTATGAAAACAAAATAAAGCCTCACCTCAAATCTTCATCCATAAAGTATTTTTGACAATAAAAATATCTAGAATGAGTCTAAAATCAATTTCCAACATAGACAATATAATTTGAAATTTAAAAAATAGTACAGATCTAAAAACACTTATTTTTAAAGTGTAATGGACACTCCAAATAATTTGTGATAATATGCACTATTTTTATAGATTGAAAATTTATTATTATTATTTTTTTATCAAGTCAAGATTTATCAAACCATTTTTCTCTCTAGAATGCTATATGCTAATGCTAACGAAGTAAAACCGGTACGGATAGTTTGTGGACGGGCTACAGCCGGTAAGGCGGGAAATAAAAGCGGGTTGTGTATTTCGTATTTTCCGCAGTTTACCCCGCTCCGCTCTCTCTCTCCCTCTTCTCTCTCTGTTAGAAAAATTTGCTTTCGGATTTTCAGTTGCAGTCTTTGCCCTGCGCTCTCTTTTGCAAGAGTGGAGCTCTAACAGAGCCGGCGACCTCAAAATGGAGGAAGGAAACGCGGACATCTCAAGCTACATTGTTGGACTCATCGAGAACAGAGCTAAGGAGGTCTCTCTCTCCAGAACTGTTTCTCTTTCTAGAAGCGTTTCTCTCTCTAAGACACAGAATCAAGGATCTGTCTCGCTCTTCTAGGTCTCTCTCTCTTAATGCAATGAAGACCTAAGTTCTCTTTTCTCTAACTCTAGATGCTAGCGACCATGAAAATTTTACGTCCCTCTCTCTAAATGCACCGAAAGAGAAATTCTCGCTGCTTGTGTCTCTCTCTGTTGCCTAATAGTTGAGAATGATATATCTGTGTCCTCTTTCTCTCCGTAAATGCTCTTAAAATACTATTCTCTCTTTCTCTCTGTGCCTATCTTTGAAGCTTCATAGTTGAAATACGTTCCCCGTTTCCAACGATCCTTTGTTCTCTCTCCTCTTCTATTTTATAAAATCATACATCGTCTCTCTCTCTCTCTCTAAATTCTTCAAGTAAATGGAGAAATTATCTGATTTTCCTTTTGGATCACACATCTAATTCATACAATCAGGGATCGGCTCTCTCTTTCTCTCTCTAAATTCTTTATCTGTACCTGTTGTTTGAATGCCACCTAAATATGCTATTCTCTTTATCATAAATGATACTTAGCTGTAATAATTCCGTATGTGTGTGTCTCTCTCTCTAAATGCAGTTTTGTCATAGAATCATTTATATATCTCTCTCTCTCTCTTTGCTACATAGTAGTAGAATTCCTCTTATTGCCATAGTAGTAGAAATCCTCTTACTGTCACAAAAACCTCTCCTCTCCCTCTTTCTAGATGCTACCAGATCATCTCTCTCCCCACCATAAGTGTCAGAAATATATGCAATCGAAAATGATTTTAGTTGTTTTCTTCTATTTTTTTTTTTGGTTATGTACACGTAAAGATTCTTTATGAAGATACTCTTAGAGAATGAAGTTACGTGCACATCAAGTACTATGTGATTGTGGTTTGAGATAGTCCTTAGAAAATGTTGGTTTTATTTCAGTTTAAAGTTATTTTTCCTCTCAATGAAATATTGTTTTAGTGTATTTTTCAAAAGACGACCACTGATTTATGATATGGCTGATATCCCAAAAATGTGATCTATAGAATTGTTATCAAAATGTGGATGATAAATTCAGAGCTCATAACAAATTTTATTTATTATTTTACTGGACATACTTTTTGATATAGAGAGTAATTGTTTCAGTTAATTGTTTGAATCAAATTATTCTTTGATTTTAAAGTCAATCCCTACTTCGCAAAAAGAAAAGGAGAAAGAAGTACAGTCTTAGTTGTTGGCAATTTGGTGAGTTGTAAATATTTTAAGATAGCGGTGAACATATTAAGATACATTGGAGCTTTATATGGGTTCTTAAGATACACTGTAGGTTTGTAACTTCTGCAGAGCTATTAACTTATATACTTGCAGTTTTATTATTGTCAAACTTTTTTTGTGGTTGCTCATCTTGATATAGGATACAATGAGTTCTATGTCTTGATTTTTATTTTTTTTATTTTTTCAATAATATGGAGGCATCCAATGGATTGTATACCTAAAATTGCATGCTGTGTTTTACAAAGAGGAAGTGATGATTCTTTACGGTCTATTTTCATGAGTTTATCATTCACGATCTTATTGGAGATTTGTTTCAGGAATCTTTTCTGGTAATTGATGGATTATAATGCAAAATGGAATTGATATACTATTATATAAAATTGACTCTTTTCGCCACTTGATGTATCACTACATAAGAAATTCACTTGATGTATTACTACATAAGAAATGAACTCGTTCCTTTGAAAAAAAAAAATATTTGGGCCAACTTTATTTGAGGATTTCAATGTGATATCCCTTCAAATGTGTGTGTTCTAGTTAACCAAGAAGATACAAAGAAGCCAGATCATATTTTAAGGAAGAAGATCATGACATGCTCAAATACAAAATGTTATTCTGGTAATTTTATTGCACATAATATTATGCCATTGCTTTCTTTGAATCCATATGGTTTGATATTGGGTGATTACTCTGAAGGTTGGTTTGGTTGCATTCAACTTGCGATCAGCCTCATTGCATCTTTCTCAATACATTGAAACAAGCAGTTCATATCAGAATACAAAGACACTATTGCATTTCTACGACCCAGTGGCAATTATTGTCCCCCCAAACAAGTTTGCACCAGATGGCAGAATTGGTGTTTCAGAACTTGTAGATCGATATTATTCATCTACTAAGAAGGTGTTAATATTTTTGATAAATTTGGGATCCTTAGGAAGCAAAAATAATTGAATTAGCATAGTCATGCCATTAACTCATCTACTATTTGTAATGTAGGTTGTCATGGCGCGGGGTTGCTTTGACGATACAAAAGTTGGAGCCTGAAATCTCTCTCTCTCTCTGTTTCTCTCTCTCTAAAAATACACAACACATGCGTGCATGCTCATGCACATAGTTATAAATACATACAGATCGTAGACATATGCGATCATATTTTTGGATGTGTGTACATTATGTTATTATTTATTTTGCTTGCTATTTTCACAAATTGTGTGAGCTGCACTTTCCCACTTTTTTTCAGGGATCTGCTGTGGTAAAAAATTTGGCATCCCATGAGCTTTCTGTTCTTGGTTTAGACACTTACTACAAACAGTACTATCTTTGTCTGGGTGCTGCTGCAGCTACCATTAAATGGTACATTTTTGCCTTGAATAAACAACCCATGATATCTTCAACCCAATGTAATAAGTTATGTCTGTTATTATTCATATTTTACCAGCTATTGATTTTAGGAACTATGACTAAAGCTGATGCTTATGGTGAGAATGATTGCGATGCATTATCGGTGATGACTATGTTTTTTCGTAGATTTGGAAAGAGCTATATTGAAGGCAGTTATCTAATAAACCCCGAGGTTGTGGCTTCAATTATGAAAAAGAGGAGGTTGTGGCTTATTAAAAAAAGGTGGTCCAGACTTCGAACGCAGCTAACCTATCCAACAAAAAAGAAAATGAAAAGACTTAGTGTCAACAACTTGTAGTCTAATTCCATCAACCATCTAGATCCTGTTGGGATTTCAAATCCAAATCTAATACTCCATATGCCTGATTCAATCCACCTGCCATGTTCCCAGTTCATGAAAAACTTGTTGAGCCTGGTTTCACGTAGTGACCTACTCACATAAAAAGCTCCTGAACATCAATGTCAACAAATGTATTTTTCATATCATCTGATTCAAGATTCATGGGTTGGATTGCTTCACCTTTAATGCAGGCGCAAAGGCCTTCACATTGTGCTTATCGGTGCACGCAACTGCCACCAGCCTTCCTTTATGCATTTCTAGTGTATTGTCTTATTTAACTTCACTTATTGAATCCATTCAGATGTGCACTTGATGCAAAGATACCGTTTTCTAGGGGTGATGGCATCTGAGGGGTGCAATATCTGTTGAGTTATGTAGACAAGATCATAAGTGAAACTAATAATGCTCCCGGATAGAATTGTGGGGTTTTGCTATTGCTATTGGTGAAATAAACCCATTTCCTTTCATGAATAATGGTTTAGTAGCCATGCAAATCGAAATAATTCTCTGTTACATTTGAAGTCGAACAAATTGAATTCCTGTATTGCATATATTTCCTTCTGGGTATTTTACCACGTACCAAGTGAGCCTATACATGTTTTTAATTAAGAACATTGTGTGCTGGTACTGATTTAAGAATTTATTCACATTGTTACAGGACAGAAACAGACAAAGGTGTCATAGTCACAAATCACTCAATATCGGTAAAAAATTTGAATGTCATATTATTTTCTTGATTAATGCAGCACAATTTATATAGGTTCACCATTTTATGACCATTTAATGTTTTTTTTTTCTAACATTCATTTAAGGTAATTGACCTGTGTGTGTAAAGCTATCTTGAAAAAGGATATTCTGGGGGATTCTTTTTCTCTTTTTTAATCTCAATATACATGTGTGCCAACTTGGACATGCTGATAACACATCATTTGGAAGTTAGCAGGCATTCTAGCCTAGATTCAAAATTTTAGCAAAGCAGAAGCGAGATTTGGAGAAAATTCACTTTCTGCTAGCATATTTTTTTCTTGATTTATCAAATTCATGTGTTGCATTGACACCTCTTGCAAATAGGTACATACTTAAATGTAAGTTGTAGGAATATTAAAATCTTAAGGAGCACAGAAGTGCAAAAAAAGCAGTAATGTGAGGCAGAAGCTTTTTATAGGATGTTTACATGTTAGAATAATAAAGGAGGAAAATACCATTTGCATGTAACCTTCTAAAACAGAACTTTTCCATTGCTTCAAGAAAATAAGAAAGGAGGAAGATACCATTTGCACGTAACCTCCAAAAAACAGAACTTTTCCATTGCTTCAAGAAAAACTTTGATACGTAGCTTGTTTTACTTTTTACTATTGAGAGGTTGAAGTTTGTAGATCTTATTTGTTCTTGTCTGTTGAACATTTCCAGGTTACCTTCAATGGTTCCTTTGATCATATGAATATTGATGTTACAAGGTATGGCCCATGCTGAAAGGGGAAGCTCCTTCACACACTTGAACTTCTTGTCTGTCTTGTTGCATTTGGTTTCTATTTATTTATTCCACAGATAGGGCTACTGAGTATTCTAGTCTCCTTGGAAATTCTGATAACCAGTGAATCTGGACATATTTCCTCTCAAGTCCAACTTATATGTCTTCAGTGTGGAATGCAGTATTCAGAACTTGGAAGTCATTGAGCCATTAGATTCTATTCTTGGGGCCTCAAGCAATAAGAAGAAGAGTCTTTTCTACATGCTAAAGACAACAAAAACTATTGGAGGGTATGATCTATTTTCGTTTTCTCTTGGTTTTCTTTTTTCTATTTGGAAACTTCCACAAGTGTCCCACTTTAAAACAATATATTTTGGTGGATATTTCCAGAACAAAGTCATCAGTATAAAAGCTTCAGTACAAATAAAAGTTAGTTGTATGGAAAGCTAAGGCTGAAATTGGTTAACTGTAAAATCTGGTTTGTTTGACCTAATTATGTTGAAACGTTTCCAAAAGATGCCGAGTGCAGTTGTTGCTTAAAAACAAACCCCAAAGTTTTAAAAGTATGAAAAGCTTATAAGTAATGGCATGAATTTTCTGAAGTATAAGTTATATGATTTTCTATTTTTGTGTTGCTTATTTGCTGCATTTTCTCTAGGACCAGGCTTCTAAGAGCTAATCTGTTGCAACCTCTCAAAGATATTGAGACTATCAATGCCCGCCTCGATTGCTTGGTTAGTATCTTGTCTGATTTATTAATATTTGGTTTTTTTTTTGTAAGGTACGCAGTTAAGTCATCCAAAAGATGTGTATCAACATAGGAATTGATCTAATGATAAAGAAAGGGCGTGTTTTCAGTTTATTGTTTGATGTTTTAGTTACTCCTTGAGGCTTTGAAAGCATTTCTTCTAATAAGTTTGATACTCCTAACTTTCTAGGTATTCTTTATTTTATAATCTTATGAAACTTCTGGTGCTGTAGTTATTCTTCCTTCCCTATTCATAGATCATAGTAGGTGTCCTCAACTGCATAAATAAGTGAAAAAACAGGATTGGGTTCGAGACTTGCTGATGCAATTAAATTATAGGAAAATTTAATTTTTTTATATTTTGTTTTATTTTCATACGGGTTCTTTTTTTTTGAGAAATTTGGTATGGTGTTGAAGGTATGGTTGGAATTCCTTTTTTTTTAAGTGCATGAGTTTTAGGATATGGATAAGATTGCCTTTCCTTGTTTATGTTGATATCTTTGGTTTGGTTAGGATATGCAAAGAGATAGTAACATGAGCCTCCTTGATTTATGGGTTTTACAAATGAGAGAGAGAGAGAGAGAGAGAGAGAGAGAGAGAGAGAGAGAGAGAGAGAGAGAGAGAGTAGAGTAGAGTAGAAGTAAGAAGAAGTAAGAAGAAGGTAAGGAGAGAGTAAGAAGTAAGTAGTAGTAGAGAGAGAGAGTAAGTAAGTAGTAGTAGTAGTAGTAGTAGT